ATTGTTGTTTATTGCTAGATTTCGTGAGTTTAGCCTTGGCTTGGGCTCGTTCGGTTTTTAATTGAATTTCCTTTTTTTCCAATTCTTCCCTCAATTCCTCATTTTCTTCTTCGCTTTCGCTATCTTCTTCGGGAGCCGTCGTTTTTTCTAAGGGAGTAATACTCTCGTTAATTTGTTCTTGAACATCTTTCAGTTGCTCGATTAATTGGCTTTTTGTTTCCTCAATTATTTCTTGGAGATTTTTTTGTTGTTCGGCTGACTGCTCGGCATTTTCGGACTGGGACTGCTTATTGGGTGCTGCTTCTTGGGGTTTTCTTTTTTCTAAATCAGTTAACGGGGCACTTTCATTATCTCCTAATAAGCGAGTATCCCAACCTCATTCGCGTAATTGTTCTGCCGTATATTTTTTAGCCCAACTACAATCGGGCTTTAACGGAAATCCTTCCGGACGGGGCATTTCTTTTTCGGTGCCTTTTTGGATGCCGACTTTTCATTCTCGTTCAGCCGATTGAGTAATTAATTTTTGAGTTTTCTTCAACAATTCTAAACTGGCTAATAATTGGGCTTCTTCGGCTTTTAGTTGTAAAGTTTTTTGGATTTTATTAAGGGCTTGGATTTCTTTGGTGTGGTCTAGTAATTTTTGCGTTTTTAATAAATTATCAATTCTCTCGTTAGCCCGTTGGGCTTCGTGCTTGGCTTGTTGGATATCTTGCTTATTTTTCTCAATTTTGTCTTGTAATTTATCTATTCTCTGATTATGTTTTTCTAATTTATCAGAGATTTCTTCAACTTTGCGGGTGGCTCTTTTGGCCGCAAATACAGCCTCATCAATTTTTTCGTCTTGGTCTAATTGGGATTGTTGTAAACGATTAATTTTCTGATGAAATTCTTCTTGAATATCTTCAATTTCATTAACCACTAAATCTAATCTTTTTCTTTGCTCGTAAGATAAATTTATTTGTTCTTCCAGACCTTCGGCAAATTCTTGGTGTTCTAGACTTAATTTCTTTTGCTGAAATTCCACATTTGCCAAATTTTCTTGAAATTCTCCTAATTGTTCTTCATTATCTTTAATTTGGGTTTCGATAATTCTATTGCGGCGGGTATAATCGGCTTGTAAGTCTTCAAAAGATTGCTCGGTTTTAGCAGTTTTTTCATTAATTTGGTGTTTATATTTTTCAAAATCGTGTTTAGTTTCTTCCTGTTCTTTGCGTAAATTATTTAAATTGGTGTTGGTGACACGAATTTGGTCTTTGAGTTCCGAGCGAATATCTTCTAATTTAATTTGTTCTTTGAAAATTTTTTTGGCATTGTCGCGGATTTTTTTGTCGTGTTCTTTTAAGGTTTCTTGAATGCTTTCAATATTTTTTTGAACTTGCTGGTTAACTTTTTCTTGTTCGGCCTGAAAGGTCTTGGTAAATTGCTCTAATTGGTCTTGGCGGGCTCCTAATTCTCCCAAGGCTTCTTCCATTTCACCCCGTAAACCGTCTAAGGCTTGGGTGGTCGAATTGGCTAAGTTTTCTAAGCCATCTTTTAAACCTTCAATATTTTTGCTTAAAGTATCAAGTTTAGCGTCTAATAAAGCATCTTTGGCAGTTCCTAAGCCAAAACTAAGGGCTTTTCCTATTAGCGGAATAGAACTAACGGCTCGTTCGGCTAATCCCACGGCCGTGTGTAAAGCTTTGCTGGGGTTAGCCACCAAATTTACCCCTGTTTTTAAGGTAAACTTGGCTCCGGTTTTGGCACCTTCTTTTAATCCTTGGTAGATTTTGTTGTAAACATCTGGATCCAGAGCTGCATCGACGGCAACTTTCCCAGCTTTTTTGGCGGTGGCTCAGGCAGCATCACCTAATTTGCGAGCGTAGTCTTGTAAGTTTTGGTTTTCTTCAGTCATTAGGAAAATTATTTTAAAAAAATGTTTTTCCTATACAGGGCTAAGACGAGGGCTGAACAATAATGGCTATTTTTTCTTATACAAGGCTAAAAACAGGGCAGAGAGCAAAAACAAGGCTAATTAAAGATGTTTTCTTAAACGACCATTAGATTTACGGATCGGAACAAAAGATTCTTCATGAACAACTATATGAAAAGGGAAAAGATTGTCGGTATAACTAACTAATCTATCCAAAGTAAACTTATCTATACGAGCAAA